GACATTGGGGAGGGTATGTGCTATGGTGAGCCCTGTGAATTGTGTAAGACTGATGAATTACAGACCTGTATCCCTGAAACAAATAATACATTATATGTTAATAAAAAATAAATTAATGAAACCTCTTCCAGTATAGTTTCAATATGGAAAAACAAAAATATAATTGATGTTTTACTTTTCCAGCCTGATAGAGAAAGGAACTATTAAAAAAAAAATCATGGGGTGCCTGGGTGGCTCAGTTAAGCGTCTGCCTTTGGCTCAGGTCATGATCCCACGGTCCTGGGATCAAGTTCTGCTTAGGGCTCCTTGCTCTGCAGGGAGTCTGCTTCTTCCTCTGCCCCTCCTCCAACTCATTCTGTCAATTTCTCTCTCTCTCAAATAAATATATAAAATCTTTAAAAAAAAAATCACAGTTATGGAGCAAATCCCAACCATTGTTAAGTTTAGCTCGGGGTCGAGGTGGAGTTTGGTGAAGTATTTGCCTTAATTTCAGTTAATTACAAGAATGCTCATGGGTTCTTTTTCCAGTGATTTAAATCCTGACATGATTTAATTAAGATAGAAAATAATCCTGTTTCCTTTCCCCCAACTTATTCATGAAGTGCGCTCAAAATCATGTGTGAGTTCACAGTTTCATGCCTGCAGCACACACAGTAAGCATCCTCATTAAGTGTCGAAGGGAGAGAGCCTTTCCTGAGGGAAGAAAGCCTAGCGCAGAGTCCGGCATAGGAAAAAAAACCAGTCCATCATCTTTTTCCTCGCTGTTCTCCATGATACTTACCTCTCTTCTCTGCAATACTAAGATTAAAGACGACCACTTCACATTTATTGTTAGGGTTAAAAAACAGAACGAAGCTTAGATTTGCAGAAGTTTCTAATTTAAATGTCAGATAGAAGAAACACACTGAAGTGAAAAAAAGTGTGCCTTAGGAGGCAATCCAATTTATCTGTTGACTGTGTTGAATAAAAAAAAGTTAGAGTTCATAAGGAGAGCATCTTTTGTGTCCTTATTATAAAGGGATAATGGGAATAACATCCCACTTGTGAACTGTCACTGACATGTGAAGTTAGATGTGTTGGGAAGGATATGGGGGAGCAAACTTAAGGATACTCACTGTCTCTTAGCTGTATAGGCACAGCATGTGTCCCTGATCTGACGATGTTCCCCTTAGTCATGATCCGAAATGAAAAATCAACAAAAAAGCAACCTTTCTGAGCCTAACACACTTCTCAACTTCTTACTCCCCACATGACCTGCTTTGGGTTCTTGAATCTCTGCTAGAGAGAATGAACTGCATAAAAATGAAAGAATCAAGGGGAACATGGATGAGAAAGGAAGATGGTGGGGCACTGGTGACGCTTTTCCTGGTCCGTGAACCACTTTTGTCTACTGATAAACTCCAAATATATTTCGTGTCCTTATTCTTACCAGGTAATAAAAAATGAGCTCCTTTGGCTCCCCAGTGGCCTTCCCATTGAGTATATGGTATGCCTTGATAATCTGAGTTTGGCCACAGGCCAGGGTACCAGCCACACGTTCCAGGTGAACATAATTCCCATGTAAGGAGAAAGCATGCTTTGCAATGTGCTGAGCTGCCTGGTGTTCCTCTCGTAGCCATACAGAGTTAAAACACAAGTCAGGTTGTGTGTGGTAGGCCTGGTAAAACAGAAAAACAAAGAATCAATATCATCTTGAAATTCTTCACTTTAGTTTCCCATCAAAATGAAGAGTTAAAATTTTGTGTCTTCCCTTCTAACATATACTATGCATCGTCCTCACCCCTGTTGACCACCAAAGAAACAAATGATCACCTTCCCAAATTGCAGTGATTAAAGGGAAATAATCTACCCATTAATCTCCTTTGCCCTGATTCTGCTAAATCATCACTGATTTATCTTTTCTTCTGTGGCTCAAGGCCAGAGGAACAATGATGTCCCAGTGAGAGTGGTAAATAATCATAGTAAGCAGAAAAGGAAATCTTTAGATAATAGAAGTCCCATGTAAGTTGGTTTAATTAAAATTATGTTATATATATTAATGTAATATTTTAAACTATAAGGGCTTCAAAATTGTTTATAAATAATCCCAGCAAATTATCATCTATGCTTCTTATCATTATTATGACTTGATTTTCAAGGCCTTGTAGTTTCTGGACCTTTAAGCCTTACCAATGTTGTTTAGCAGATAATTCCATTTATTTCCCCTGCAGTGGTTGCTCTTTAGCTATTTTATGGATATACTTATTTTCTTTTTCTGGATTTACTAGGTTTATTTTGGGGACCTTTCTATTTGCTCTCATGATAAAGTTCCTGTTTTTTTTTTTTATTATTGCTTTTAAGTATATAATACTAATAATTTACAGCTCTGTTAACTCTATCATTATAGAGTTTCAAATATAAGGACACTCCACTTATCTTTTCAATCTTAGGGAAGAGCAGGTATCTATTACATAGAAAACATTAAGCATCATTCCATATTTTAAATTGAATTAACATTTGAACTTTGGGAAATGGAAATAATTTAAATGCTGTTTATCTAAGGTGGAATCAATAAATCATTGTCTTTCACCAATTCTTTGTTTGAAATTACAAGCATAAAATCTTTTTGGTTGTAGAAATCTTTTGATCATCATCATTAGGCAATATATATTAAGTGTGTGTGGGGGTTCTGATCAGTCTTCAAATTATCTGAGTGGACAAAGAAAAAAACAACATTAAACAAATTACATGAATTACTTACCCATTGAAGATCTGATATGGTTCAGAACCAAATCCTATAAGATTTTTTTTTGCATAATACATAAAATTTTAAAGATAATGCTAATGAATTGATCAGACATTCTGACAGTATCTCTTCTACCATTTTTGTTGTTTTTAATTAAATTTTTAATTCCTAAGTTTATCCCTAAGTTAGACAGCTTCTTATTTCTCTCTCTCAAATACAATATGTGTGCTTCTTCACTTCTGAATAAATGATTGTTATACTAAGGTTTCTCTTTGTCCTCAGTTTTTTTTTTTTCCTTTCATACTTACCATGACAGAAATTTTGTTAGCCAAAATATTAGTAGTATTGATTGAAAACTGAACAAGACCCTGGTCATTGGTAGTTGCATTGTAAAGATAATTTGCTTCATTTGCAGAGATAAAGACAAGTTTATTGGGGATGGGCACATCTTTCCCGTCCACCAGAAGCACCTAAAGAAGAAAAGAATTTGATAAGTTATGTGGATAATATTCAGAGAAGACAGAACTCATGGAAACAAATTCCTTTGCTACCATAACTGAAAGAAAAGCAAAAGCAAATCCAGAAAACAACCCTTCTATATTTACTACAGAATTTATTTTTTTTCCTATTTGTATCCTCATGTCTTTCACCTTTTCTCCTTTTTTTTTTGGATCCTCAGGTCTTTTGCATCTCCTGAAAAAAACCACATAAACTGTCCCACGAAAAGTGTTTCTTTTTGAGAAAAATTATAAGTAATTTTAAAGAAATAATTATGGAATGGATAAATAATTATAAATACTTATAAAAGGGGTAAAATTATTAGTTAAAATTAAAAGGTATACCTTTTAAAAAAATTTTATTATGTTATGTTAGTTACCATACAGTACATCATTAGTTTTTGATGTAGTGTTCCATGATTCATTGTTTGCGTATAACATCCAGTGCTCCATGCAATACAGGCCTAAGTATGAAAATAATTTAATAATAATGGCCATAAAATGTACACAATTATAGTTCCTATGTCTAGAAATAAAATTACACATATCCAGTCTAGACATATGGGAAGAAAAAGAAAAAAGAGAGAGAGGGAAACAAACCATAAGACAAGTCTTAACGATAGAGAACAAACTGAGGGTTGATGGAGGGTAGTGGGTGGGGGATGGGCTAGATGGGTGATGGGTTACGGAGGGCACTTGTGATGAGCACTGAGAGTTATATGAACAAAATTCTATTCCTGAAGCCAATATTACACTATATGTTAATTAACTAAAATTTAAATAAAAATTTGAAAAAGAAAAAAATAAAAACAAAACCACTTATTTATTTCTAAATAGAACAGCAGGTATAAAGGCGGATACTGGTAGCCATAAATTGAGAATCATTTGTGAGAAATTCTCTTAAAATTCTGAAGCTGGCTGGATATCGGTAGAAATATATTTATTGTCAAATGGGTGGTAGAAAGGTTTGCCATAGTAATTAACTCATATCACATTAAGCATCTTCATTAGCTGTATGTTCTAAAAAAAATACCTCTGATTCTCAAAATACTATAGTATGTGATTGCACATTTTATCAGTGATATTTACAAAGGAAAGTAGTTTTGCTTGGCTTCATGGTTTGGGTCATATTAATTAACTGATATCATTAACTAGTTATAGGCTACATCATTGTGCCCTGAAGATAGGTACAACTGGATACTTCATTACTTGTGAATTGCAATATACTCTACCTGTCCAAAGAAGGGGATTCCTCGTCTAAAGTGTGAATCCACTTTCACAAACTTGAGTCTGGTTACAATGTTTGTGATTTCACTGGTCCCATTTCCAGTAAATACTAGGTCTAAAAATATGTAGAGAAGAGTAAGTACTCTTGGAAGTTACTAGTACCAAAATTCATTTCCTTCCACTTTCCTATGACCCTTATTTTGTTATGGAAAACAAACCAATTTTTATTGTTTCACCGCCTGTATTAACTTAGAGTGCAAACCTGTTCCCTCTTTTCTGATCTTGGCTTCCACTTTAAGTTGCATTTTATAACCCATATTTTTAATCTGGAGTACATTTGATTTTACTTCTTGGGTGATGCAGCCATTGCTGTTGAGCTGAGAGAAATAAAAAAAATTGATAAATGCCATACTAAGACAATAGTCACTAAATCTATTATTTTCCTTCCGATGCCAACACAACTTCTTTGGGTTAAACATGTTAACTGACCTTCAGGAATTTAATATTCACATGTGTTTTATATTCTCTAAGGGTTAGACATCAAAATGAGAATTTTATTGACCAGGAATAGAAATTATTTTTCCTTTTTGGTGGTAAATATTTTGGGATAAGTTTACTCCAATGTCCTCTTTCCAGTGAGTAACTACCCCCTCTTTCCAGGGGTAGTTCAATGGTTGTCAACAATGATAGCCTCTAGAGAGAAAACTGTAAACTAACCTGTTGAGTGAATTTCTCACAGAACTCTGGCTTCTGACAATAAGTGGGATGAAATAATTTTCTGCACATGCTTACAGTTGCAAGTCCTGGGACAGGTTTCCCGTAGGTGTATCTGTCACATAAGAAATACATCAGGAACTGAAGAAAGGTTTCTACATTTTCCACCACCAACCCATCACAGGTCAAACAATTACTCTCTGTAGTTCCTTGCACTTCTTTATCATTTTGGGCTCATAGCAATTGAAATATGCCTGGAAATCATCTTTATCAAGAGGTACTACTCATTAAAACATTTGAAATTTTGCTGCAATGTACAATCAGGTTTCCTTCAGGATTTAAAAAATTTCTTCCTTTTAGCCCATTTATTTTTTTTATCATTCTTTTTATTCTGTCATTGTAAAATCAAAACTTGTTGTTTATACCAAATGAGAAAACTTAGGTAATTAATAGAACACAAATAAATAAATAAATAATGGAAATAATAAACCCAACATAACATGCATACACACACACACACACACACACAGATGGAGAGGGAGAAAGAGCCCTGATAAAACCTAACAACATGGGGCTTATAAAAAAAAATTGTGTGTGCACTCTATATTTCTATTAGTTTTCCCTTAATAAAAATGGAATAATTAGTAATCAGTTTGCTTTGGGCATTAGTTTTCTTTCCTATTTGTAAATGTCTCAAATATCACTTCAAATAAAAAATGTAATCAGAGCAACTTATTCTGAAACCCCTTTTCAAGATACAGATATCAGTCCAAGATGCCGTTGAATTAAACAAATAATTCCTTGGTCATGACTCCAAGACAGAATTGAGGCAGAGGTCCAGATGCTTTGATGCTTCCAGTATATAGTATGTTTGTTTTTTTCTTTTACCATGCATGCTCCCTCTGCTACTGATGATTTGTAGGAAATGAGTTTTAATTCTCAAGGTTGAAATGAACTGTAAGAGTTGTTTGTAATTGCAAAAGATTAAAGAAGAAAGGAACCCTACAAGACAGAAAAAAATTTCAAAAATAACATTAGTAAGTCCTTCACTATCAATAATTACTTTAAATGTAAACAGATTAAATTATCCAATAAAAACAAAGGGGACAAATGGATAAAAATACAAGATCCAACTATATGCTATATACAAGAGACACACTTTATATTTAAAGACACATATAGCTTTTTATCTTGATGAAGTCCCAAAAGTTCATTTTTGCTTTTGTTTCACTAGCTTTTGGAGATGTATCTTGAAAGAAGTTGCTGTGGCTGATGTCAAAGAGGTTATTGCCTATG